TATATCAGACATATTTTTGTCCTCAGCGTCTTCGAACTTCTCGTCTTGTCCTGAAGGTGGACTTTCGGGTAAACTAAATTCCGGCGTCGTGGATGCGTTTGGCGGGGATAGACAGGGTTGAAAATTGTATTGAGATGAGATTTTAACGTTTAGCCGTCGTTTTAGGTTGAATCAATAAGGTTTGAGATAAGGTTTTCAGATCTGAATTGCTTGATGTTCTTTTTCTTAACTAATTATAATACAGCCGTTGTGAGAAATATTGGTTTTTTTTTTTTTCTCTTTACTTCCAGATTTTATTCGGTTTTTGACTTTTCGAAAAAAAGAGTTTTCCCTATTTTTCAAGTGGGAAACTGTCAATGAATCTGTCCATTCATTTGACAGTTTCATACGGAACATCACGCAGATGTTCTGGTAAGTTCCGATCACGGGATGTATCAGTGGGGCAGCTCTTCTGTGATTCCTGGCCTCATTTGGTCGCATGGCCCTTTTTCTCTCTCCTCCACTATCCTACCTCCATTTCCCCATTTCACCGAAATACCTCCATTCCCCCACCTCACCGAAATGCCACCGGTGTGTTTTCTCTCTATTCTTTCCCTTTTTCCTATCTTCCATGGCTCATGGATGCTTTACAGCTTCGAATCGCTCATCACAGCCCCGAAATAAAGCTTGCAGTTGTTCGCTTAGCCCTCACCGGAGTTCGGTTTCAGGACATTTCCAGAACTTTAGGCATGGACTTAGCCCTGACCTCTGTACGTCGCTGGGTCAATCTCTACCAGGAGACTCGGGCGGTGGTTACGAACCCCTTGGACCACATGGCTCGTGGCGCTCCTTTGGTCTTAGGAGGCCCCGAGCGCCTATTTGTCCTGGATAGCCTTCGCCTCGACCCGACCTTATACCTAGACGAACTCCAATCAAAGATCTTGCAACAATTCAATAAAAATGTGTCCATCAAAACCCTTTCAACCGAGCTGCGAGACCGATTGTGTTGGACTCGAAAGAAAGCGCGTACTGTTCATCCGAACCAGAGCTTGGCTGCCCGAGGGGCTTACATGGCCAGGATGCTCGAAATTGACCCGCGTTGTCTTGTGTTTGCCGGTGAGTACCTTCCTTTGCACTATTTCACAACTCTTTCACCTCATTGATTGGACACCTTGGGCTCCTAGATGAGACTGCGATAGCGAAAAGGCGCACGTATCGCGAGTACGCACGGGCTCCTATTGGAGAGCGAACCCCCCGCCTCACGAGGCCCACCCAATCGGGCCGTTGGTCAGCCCTACCTGCGATTTCTCTTGATGGCTTATTGGCCATCACCATCAAGAGAGGTGGATACTCACGCATTCATTTCGAAGAGTTCCTGGAAAACGACTTGGTTAGTCTTCCAGGAACTCAATAATATTTTGTTTAAGCGCTAACATCTTTCGATTGTTATTACAGTTGCCGGCCATGAATCCATGGCCGGCTCGTAATTCGGTGCTAGTTTTAGATAACGCCCCCATTCATCACGGGGGCTCAGTCGCTGATCTATGTGAAGCTCGCGGTGTTAGACTTATTTATCTACCGGCCTATAGCCCTGACCTCAATCCTATTGAGAAAGGTTTTTCACCTGTTAAAGCGAGTCTCAGAAGGACCCAGGGGCTTCAAGGGGCTGTTGACGCCCAAGGAGAAAGAGCTATGGTATGGGTGACTATGATGGAAGTCTTCACGGATCAATTGTGTGATAAGCTTTTCAAAGGGAGTGGCTATATGTAGCCCCGTCGTGTATCTCAGAATTTGTACCATTTTTATTTGTTCATGTCCTGTCCTATCTCAAACTCGGTAGTAGCAATTGAACTTAACAATTGTTCCAAGTCAAAAAAAATTGCCTTTGAGTCACAAGAGTCTGATTTCGCTTTGAATTCTTTTCAATGAGTGAATGAAAAGAACCAAAATAAACGAGTAAGACACCAAAAGGCATGATACTCGAATGTCATCTTGATAAAGGCCCCTCTGACATTATCTCAATACTATCTCGATTGAGATGAGACCCTTACAGCACATGAGCACGTGGTCGCACGGGAACTTAGGCAAATGTTCAACTCATGGCCCTTCGTTGTGCGGGAAATGGCGCATTTGGGGCGAGAACGCAGACGAAACAGCAACAGCAAGCAGATATGTTTTTCAATCGGAGCACATGACAGCTTTACAAAAACTAATACCATCTAGGAAAGATTTGCAAACAGTCACGAGGTAAACTTTTTAATGAAAGATTGAATAATGAAAATACAATCTTGAAGTTCAAACGGAAACTTGAACTTTTTTAAATATAGTAATTGATTTTCACATTCGAAAATACAACCGTGTTTCGATAGGACACATTTTAATTGAGAGGTTTAAAGGTTCAGTGAAGGGCAGGGTGCCCAAGTATCGATTCGCGGAAGTTGAAGGACAATTTTGAGCATCCGCTTCGGCTGCCGCATTAATCAGGCGAAGAGCCAAGTTGAAGGGCATGCCATGCCCAGTCAACACGTTAGCGGTCATCTGCATGCTAGGCACGAGATCGGTCCAAGAAGTCACTTGGGCCTTGCGCAGGATGGCCCGGGTTGCGAGATCGTTGCGGGCAACGTCGCACTCAAAAAGGAAGTCGTCCAATAGTGTCGCATGGGTGACCACGAACTCGACGTCGGAGTCGGGAACGTAAGGGTCAGACTTGGGGATATCCTCGTCAGTGAGGAGGGAAATAGATTTTCCCGCATTAAGCCCGAACTCAGCTGAAGTTAAAAGCAAACGAAAGATCATCAAAAAGATTAGTTCTTGAAAACGCATGCCATATGTCAAGAATGGAAACACTTACAAGGTTCCTTCTTGACTTTCTTTTGGGAATTGAACCCGCTGGTAGAGGAAGTCCTTGCGTGCTTCGCCCCGGGTGGGCTTTCAGGTTCGACCTTCACTTTGACTTCGACGGAAGGGGCATTCGAAAAGAAATTGTGATGACTTCTTGCCTTCGAGCCCGATGGTTTAGAGCTGGGTGACGCAACGGGGTATCTTCTTCTGACACGGTCGTCCACGTTCATATCGTGATGAACAAGCGCGTTCTTGAACATTTCGCGCTTGTACTCGACCGTGTTTGGAGCAATTCCGCGGGTCGTGTACCCATCGCGCTGTATTACTTAACCGTAGTCAGTATGGGCAGCAAATAAAGAAATTAAACATTGGACGTACCACTGCTTGCGCCCAGATGAAAGCACATCGATGAGTGAAACGATAATAGAAGTTCGGGTCCCATGGCGCGGTCAAGACGGCGCCATCCCCTCCAAGGGCGCGCTCGAGATGGTCCTGGTATATGCTCGCCGCCTCAAGCTCGAGGTCCTTGGCAGCTTTGACCGCCTACTTGCGAAATAGGAATCGAAGCCATTAGAAAGGTATCAATTGTAAATAAAACCATATTGAAAACGAAAGTAAGTACCAAAGTCTCCTCTTGTGCCGCCGCGACTTGGTCCTGGGAAGCAGCCAATTCCGCCTCAAGGGGAGTTGGCCCAGCGTTTCCTTGGATAAACGCCACCGCCCCGCTAGCCTACAACATAAGAGCAACAGAGTTCAGCATAAATAACACATTGAACAACATTAATTCGATAAAACTCATAGAGGAGGTACATGAAGACAGGAACTCACCTGGGCATTCTTTTTGGCCTTAACCTGAGGTTTCTCCAGCACGATGTGGACGGTGCCTTTGGAGCTACGACTCTTTCCAAGGTTGTTCACGAAATCTTGAAAACTTTTGAAATCGATCAACTTGGTTCTCTTGGAACCCACGCTAGCATTCCAGGTCAGCAACGGGGTCAACTCGCTATCAAGAACCACCTTCTTGATACCGGTGAAGTAACGGTCGCACACGTCGCCAACCAAGGCCTTCAGGTCATTCAAAGATTTTCCATACAGGAACACTTTGAAGTCCAAGATTTGGCCGTCTTTGAAGTCGGATGAGTCGATAATGGCGTATTGGGGAGGAGGGGGAGGTTTCTTCTTCCCGGCGGTTAATTTCGAAGGAGAAGGTGACTTGGCCATTCCAGGGGTGACCTCCACGGTATTGTTCGTGTGAATCTTGAAACTCACCGCGATGACGAAAGACTGACTATCTTCCATCAATTGACGGCTTTCGGTACCTTGGCGCCAAAGGCGCTCCAGAGTCGGATGACGGGCTGGAGCGTCATCACCGTCCGTGATCAAATAGGCCGGATCAAACACTGCAAGATAACGATATCAGCATTGTGAATACGGGAAATCTGCAGAGAGGTGTTACTTACCCTCATCGGGATTCTCGTCCTCGTGGATCAAACTTTGAATAGGATCGTATGGCATCTCTAGCGGAAAGAATCGGGGTCAGCCGCGATCAAACTGAAAAATGGAAGAGAAGCTTACTGATATGATATTTGTTTCGAAATAGGATTTCCAAGAGCAAGTTGACAGAGGTTGCTCGATGAACAACACTAAACGAATAGAAACGGGTTGGGTGAGATGATAGGCTTTAGGAGAAGATAGAGAAATGACAACGCCGAAGGAGGAAATTACCAAGCTGAAATGATGTCCAAAAACTGGTATGATAGAAATGGAGGAGAGGATGTATGAAAAGATTTTTTGGTTGAATACCTCGTCATGAAAGGCATCCAACCAAAAGTGGTGTAATCGCAGAGGCCGCTGGCATCACATCCGGCCGGCAAGTTCATCGCAGCGCGTTGGGTGGTCACGTCGTTCGTCTCGAACGAGGGATGAGCGACTAGAAAAGCTGCTCGGACGAGTGAAGAGCAGTAAGAAACAAAAGAAAAAAAGAAGGATGTGCATGAGGAAAACGAGATCCTCACCCACTCCTCAGTCCAAAAGTCGGAAAAAACGGAAAGGAAGAAACTGAGTAAAATCTGGGAGAAAAAAAAAAAAAAAAAAAAAAACCAATATTTCTCACAACGGCTGTACTTTGAGTTAACTTCTTTTTCGTTCTTTTGAATTTCTTCTTTTCGATATTATTTCTTTTCCTTTCCTTCTTTTTTCTTTTCAACTTCTTTTTGTTCTCTTCTTTTCTTCTTCTTCTTCTTCTTGATGTTCTCTTGGATCTTGGATTGTAAGACGTAGCAATATGATAGGACTCTGGGCGTGTGAAGATGCAAGAGACAAGACCAAGGGTGTTCTATGATAAGATATAGATTGCTACGTGAGGAGTCTAGTATAGACTCCTCTCACCAAAGTACTATAGGTGAGTTACAGTATAAACATATGTATGTAATCCTTATACTGAGTAGCTCATAACAGTTTACAATATGGTAGGGAAGCAACAAGATTTGACAAATGCCAGTCTTGACATCCCTCAAGGTTATCTTTGAGTCAGTGGTGATTCATTCTCAAGGCATGAATTTCCTGGTTTCATACCTTTCAAAAAGATAAATCCTAATGAAAAGGCCCAAGCAGCATCATTTGAGTGTTTTTATAAGCAAAATGGCCCACCTTTTATGTCGGCTGAACTTACACTGTCACTTATGTTTCAAGCACAAAATGTGGTGTCCAAAGGCACACCTTTGTTACCAGACTGTCCACACACAATGGCATGCATTGCATTTTGATGTTTTATCCAATGTCTTGTATGTATTGTAACCAAAGCTGCAAACTTGGACATTGTAAATGGAGCCAACTCTAAAATACTGAAATGACTCACTAATCACTATATACAATACATTTCATAAGACAAACCAAGTGCGCTAAAGATGCCCTTAGTGTTCTGGGTATTGATCTTGTTCTTCTCATTGTAATTTCCTTTGTATTTATCAAAAATGAGCCACCAACATACCAAAAAAACAATAGGATAGAAGTTGGGTGGGTTCATGACTCACATCATGGCTGAAGATCAAGATATCCCATTGGTCAATGATAAACAGGTCCCAGTTGAATTTTTCCCACACTCCCTCAGGTTCTAGAACAGGCCAAAAAGATTGATTATATCTTTATCAGTATATGCAAACCCCTTGAGCCACTTTTTTATAGATATTATAGTTTGCTTGGAATCAATTTAAACTTGGCAATCTCCAAGCAATAATGATAAGAACTATGTTTTGGCTTCTATCTCAAACATCCAAGTCAAATCTACAGTGAATCAAATTTACAAAGACAGAAATATTGTGGTGGATCTAGTATTGACTTCTACTCCATAACAATCAACAAACTTAACTATCAAGGTCCTGGCTCAAAATTCCTGTAGGATTTTTTTTGCCAGTGGTGATAGGGTCAAGTTAAATATCAATATGAATTTATTTATTTTGGTTGAAACCGTAAAACAAACCCTGCAAAGAGACGTCCAGACCAAGATTTATGCCAACTTTGTGCCTTGATGAAAAATGCTGGACTGCTTGCCTCTCTAAAGTTGTTTTTCTTATCATTTGAAGTGCTATGGAGGTATAAAGTCAACACCCCTTTTCATCTATGGGGAGAAGGATATGTGTTGGCTGTTTTCATAACATAATATGTTTTGAAAAATGTTGGAGAAGACCAACATCATAGTCAATCCTGTCCGTGTTTGTAGATCACAGCTCCCTGCCTGAGAACTAAGCTTGTAATTGAGAGTCAAGGCTTGAAAGTCAGAATCAACACATCCACGCACATTCTCCCAATTCTAGAAACTACCATTGAAATTTTGTCTCGTGTGTCGATGTTCAAGATATTCAACATTCTAAAGCTGTGGAAGATTGCCCTCTCCACATGATGATGATACCAGTGACAAGTACATCAATTGATTTCACCTCATAAATCATATACAAAAGCTTATACCGGTCGAGTCTTGAGTTCAGTCATATTCAGTTTCAACATTACCTAAGGTATAGCAAGCATCCGTGACTTGAATGCTTGGTTTGCTTATTGAAACTTGAAACAATAATCATGTACTTATCATGTCTTATCCAATTTTGCCAAGACATGAACTTCAGGATAGGTTTCAAGTTTCAAGGCGGAATTTTGATTCTATACTTTCATCATATGATCAAGTAGAAACAAACTCTCTTATTCCCGTATCTACTTGATAAATTCCAGATGACTAAATTAGACGCATATAACTGGAGCCGATCGCGGGCTTTGAAATCCCTCACGATGCTTCTGCTTTGCCCTCAAGTGATCACGCGCGTCTGAGTTGAGGAGGAAGAGTGGAGTTTGCCGAGTTGCTCGGTTCTCCGATCTTAGGGTTCATCATGTTCGAAGCCAGAAAGGGCATGAAGTATGATATGATATCATTGGCCAAACTGATTCTTGTTGTGTTTATTCCATTGAGAGCTTGATGACTCTCGAGAGCTTACGAGGAAAATGATGATATCCATGAGAAAGGGAGGGTTACTTAGCATACATAAGTGGCACATATGACATAAACTATGAGCATAAGGTAAGTTATACTCCCCACAATTCGGCCGTATCTGCGCAGTTGAAGTTCACCAGTGCCAAAGATTGAGATTCTGAAAAGTGCATGTTGATTTGTAAAACCGTGATTCCAAGATTGCAAAGTCCGTGATCAGGTGAATCGCGTCAGACTCAAGTCCATTGAATTTCTCCATCTTTCTTTCTTGCTTTCTTTCGTTTCAACAAAACCACCATTAACAAAGGTGTGTATTTGTACAATTGGATTTAAAAATTATTTACACAAATCCAGGAACAGGAACAGGAACACACGCATACAAAGACAGCCCTTTCTTACGATCACATAATCTATCACATCTTTAATTTTCAATCTCCTGCTGGTGTAACTTGTCAATAGCCTACCATCTCCTCACGTCCTGCGAATTGTGATCGAGGATGAATCTACTACGAACAGCCCTCAACCAGTCAGTATTACAATCTCATTCTTGATCTTTTCGAAATGGTCTTATGCCAAATGGTTTTGACTATAAAAAAAAGCTCATTCACCTTCAATTCTCGTATTCTTCCTTTCACCAATTAAAATTATTCCCAGGTTTCCCAGCTTACACAGCTCTCATCACCGCCATCTAAAAAACTTTAACAACTTCCAATCAAAGACTATCACTTGATTTCTCGAGACGATTTTACGAGGATATTTCTTGAATTCTCTTGCATTGTTTCCTGAATATATTAAAGTAGTCTTTAATCATTCAAACTTGTCCCTTTTTTTCCTTTTAGAAAACCTATCATGTCTATCTTCTTTTCCACCACTTCTACTTCATCTCCATCTCGATCATGTTTCTTGATCCATCTCCTATCTTTGGCTTCTCAAATCTTTATTAACATCACTGTTGCTGTCATCTCACCAACAAAGTTAAAGCCAATCCTCATCTCTGACGCTCAAAGCGCCTATCACCACATCTCGGCATACTTCAATTCAAAGGGACAAGCTCCAAACATTCCTGGATTTGAAAATGCTCTTCGACAACTTCTCACCTCCTCATCCAGCCAACTCAACTTTCCCCTAAATGTGAGTCTCTTTCTTTTGCTTTACAATACAGATATGAATGATGTTCTAAATGGGATTTGGTTTGATTTTTCTAGCCGCTTTGGTTATCTGGGTTACTCTCATCATCCGACCCGATTTCCAAAACCATCTTCTCAATCCTTCAACCGGCAATCTACCTCGTCCTCACTCATTTCCGGTTTTTCTCTCCCACCGACAATCTCTTCCCTTATGCCTGCTTTGCGTCCGTCCAACAGCAGGCAAAGGCTTCTTATTACCGCTTAATCACCATCACCCAACTTCAGGTAAGGCTCTTTTGTTTTTCTGAATGGATTTCGCTTGATTTTGAGATGTTTGTTCCTTTTTCAGACACTCGCTCGGTTGTCTCGGTCATTGAAAGCAGTCCGCACCACCAACACATTCCGTGCCTCACTGCTTTCTGGCCCATCCGATTCATCAATCCAACACGATCATCCAATCCCATCGTGTGGTCATCTACCCGAGCATTCTGCTCTCCTTCGTCCCTTCACACCACGAGGCCCGATCTTCATCAAACGAACGTCACCACCTACTGAACGATATGTGGGATACATCAGTGATCTGGCTGAATCTGCCCATATTCAACTTCGAAACGTTCATCCAGATGATTACCTCGATCAACCCTTTCGTCAACGTCGATTTTATCTCGTCAAGGCTTTTCGAGATCGAATTAAAAGGGCTATCAAACCAGTGACGGTGTTTGAAGATGAAGAGGATGACTATGGACCGATTGATCCATCTTGGCTTTGATTGTCTTTTTTTTTGGTTTTCTTGAAATGATTGTGATCTTTGGTTTTTTTTTCTCGTCTTTTTTTTTGTTTCACTTTTTCTTGTTCGTCTTTCAATGTGATCTTTATAGTCTTTATTATCATCATCCTCCACTCTTGGTGGCCTTTTTTTTCTTAGGATGTTTTGTTTTTTCTTGTTTTCTCTTCATCTTTCTCTGATTTTTTTTTGTTTCTCTATTCAACTCTGACCTTAAAAGATTCTGATGTATCATCTCAATTGTAATCTTTTTTTTTCAGTACTTCTCTTAAGGAATTTTATAGAGATGAATTAGTAGAATATTTTTATTGTGAGGTGAAAAAGAAAGATGAAGCTTGTTCCATGACTTTGTCATTAACTTTTTGATGGAGTGAGAGTAGAGTTTATTATGAGGATTTAGACCAAACTGATTGGTCTTGTAGAAAGAGATGGCAAACTGGGGTGGATTTGTATATTTTCAAGATGGTTTTTGATTTGAAAGTCTGATAAAGTTAGCCAAGAGTATGATGAAATGAAGTTGATTGAGGGATTGATTTGTAGTATGTAGATGGCTGTGAAGCAAGTCACTGTCACCGACCGAAGTTCAGTAGTGATCAATCCATCCTTCACAGCGTGGTCAAGGAATGCCAAGTAAATTCAATTAGAATCCAAATCAAATCAAATCAAAATCAAAAAACCGAAACCGAGTTTGAGTACAAATCCAAAGTCAAACTTAAATTCCCTTTAAAATACTTTGTACCAATTCATTCTTACTTTTTTTCATTTTTCATTTCATCAAATCATGTTACAATCCATCTCTTCTTCATCATCATCATCATCATCATCACTATCCACTTTCAAATCATTCTCAACATATCTTATCATCTTACTTTCATTTCAGCTTCAAATCAAAGGTTAGCTTCATTCTTCTTATACTCTTCAATTGACTACATATCACTCATCAACCTCTTCGATTCATTCACTCACAGCTCATTCTACTAGATCTGAACCAATTCAATCAGTTTATCAACTCAACTCGGCTAGTTTACAAATCTTACCTCGTCTATCATCTCAATCTACTTCATCAACTACTCTCAACAAACGAAACCTTTATCCTCCTTCACCTTCTCACCTTCGTCACAATGATTCAATTCTCTTACGATTCTCAATCCCTCCATCTCAAAGAAACCCTTCATCAACTCAGTTCTCATTATCATTACATCCAACTCCAGACTTGATTCATCCTGATGCTAAAATCAATTATCACTCATTCGATTCAGATACCGGTCAAACTACTCTTACCACCCTTCCACTCCTACCAGAGCATGTTTTGGCTTACACCGGTTGGGTCATTGATGAGTCTAGCCTTGAGACTTGGTGGGCCGAAGAACATGCATCAATTGTAAGACCACCAGCTTGGGCTTCATCTTTTGACGATCCAAGGGTGTTGGGATGGGCTAGGATCTTGGTGCATGATACAACTCAAATGAAATCTCATGATCATCTTGATCAATTAGTTTGGGAAGGTTCTTTCACCGTCAAGGGTCAACTGTGGCATGTTAAACCGTTGGAGACTTTCAATCAAATGAGACATTCAAAAGATATCATGCCAATCCCGATGGCTTCGCATGCTCGTGGTGGCCTTGTAGCTTGGTCTGAAGATGATGACGCTATCCAGTCGGACAACACCTCAACTGATTCTCATATCAATGCTATCTCCTCTCAAAATCCTGCGAGCTGTGGACATGACAATTTAGCTTTCAATGTCGATCCTGAACATCAGGTTTATCAAACACCTTCAGCATCAGACGCATACATATCTAGCCAGTTTCAATTCGGTCCTTATGGTCCCTCATCATTATCTACACCATCAATGACAACCCTCATAGAATCTCTTTTTGGCTTACCTATCTCTCGTCCAATGACCAACTCTAGATCTCAGTTTGCTCATCCCTCGCGCGTCAATAACCTTCTTAAACGGCAAATACTCTCTAGTGACATCTCGGGCCTCGGAAACACCTCAATGTCTAATTTTATCAACTCCATTGGAACTACCACTGGATGTCCTATCGAAGCAAGGGTGGCCTTCATTGGAGTCGCAGCTGATTGTACCTATGTATCTCGATATGGAACTCAAGACGCAGCTCGAACCGCGATCCTCAACAATGTGAATTCTGCATCGGCATTATATCTGAAGACTTTTAATGTCTCAATCGGTGTAGTCGAATTGAATGTTCAATCATCAGTCTGTCCCAAATCACCCGATCCAAAACTCCCTTGGAACATTGGTTGTCCTGAATCTGGTCCTCAGGGATTAGACCTCAATCAACGCTTGAGTGCCTTTAGTCAATGGCGTGGTAACAAGGGCGGTAGCGATGGAGCTGGACTATGGCATCTGATGACAAATTGTTCAACGGGTAGTGAAGTCGGGGTTGCTTGGTTAGGACAGTTATGTCAAGTCGATGCTACTGCTGGATCATCAGGTCAAGTCACCAGTGGGACAGGTGTCACCGCCTCTTCCGCAAATGAATGGACGGTCATGGCTCATGAAATGGCTCACAACTTTGGTGCGATTCACGATTGTACAGGTGGATGTAGTCTGACTAGCAGCTGTTGTCCAATGTCATCATCATCTTGTGATACAAACTCTAATTACATCATGTCGCCAGTCGCGACCAAGAAGAGTACTGCATTTTCACCTTGTTCCATCGGTAATGTCTGCACTACCCTTCGAGATTCGCTCAATACGACTTGCTTGGTGAAACCTGGACAAAGAAGTGTTATTTCTCTCCAACAGTGTGGTAATGGAATCGTCGAACCGGGTGAGGATTGTGACCCGGGTCAAGGTTCAAGTCCATGTTGTGATGCGAAGACATGTAAATTCTCGAGTGGATCAGTCTGCGATCCTATCAACTCACCTTGCTGCACATCCACCTGTCAATTTGCTTCGTCGGATTTGGTGTGTCGGCCATCGATTGATCCTCAATGTGATCAAGTAGAAAAATGTACGGGTCGTGATGCAAGTTGTCCTACTGATGGATTTGTCGAGAACGGGAAAAGTTGTGGGGATTCTAGTGCCGGTCTTACCTGTGCATCTGGAATGTGTACGAGTCGAGATCAACAATGTCAAGTTCATGGTACCTCACTTCGGTTGAAGAACGCTTGCCCTGCATCGGCCACTTCAACTTGTCAAGTTGCTTGTGTTGATCCAACTGGTCGAGCTGATTGTGTTATTCTGAGTAATAACTTTGTAGATGGGACCACGTGTGGGTATGGAGGTAGGTGTTTACAAGGAAAGTGTCAGAGTGGAAGTGTATTAGATACTGCCAAGTCTTGGTTTATGTCGAATTTATCGATTGGAATTCCAGTGGTCATTGCGGCTGGAATTCTAGGCTTAATGATCTTATTGGCAATCGGGAGGTGTCTAGTGAATATGTTCAGGCGAGGCGGAGCCAGAAGAACATTCACTCCATCCAATGTTCCAATCCTTCCTAAACCTGAAGAAGGCGTGCAGCCACCACCACCATCACATCCACACAACTTACAGCCTACGTTACATCCGATGTATCTACCTCCTCCTGGTCCACCTCCGGTCGCACCTCATAATCATAATCAAGGTGGATGGGTCGATCCTACTGCGTGAGTTGCCTTCATAGACTTGCATCTCTCTTGGCTGATTTGCTGACCCTTTTTTTATCTCTTTGTCGAATTTAGTTGGAACGGCAGGGCTTAAACTTACTCAACTTATCAATACTTTTAACCAAATTTTTATAATCACTTGATTGCTCATGCCTGGAAGATATAAACATACACGGACCATATCTTTTTTCATCAGACGGAGCCTTTGCAGGATTCATTACTTTTCCATTCGATACTTAATCATGCATTTATATATTATCCGTAACACTTCTCTGGACATCGCACTTGATCTTGGTTTAATTCATTGGATTCGATCGATCGCTCTACGTGCTCAGAAAAGGAAATCATCTTCAGATCAATCAATATCTTTCTGAACAAAAATAAGGGTATATAGTTGATCTTTGTAGGATTGGTCTTCACTTTTCCATCTCGTCGTTATTTTCTATTGTTCTATTTGAAGTGTTAAGTGATCCTGACAACCTTGCTGTAATAAGATAAATATATCATATTATCATTATTAGTTTTCTTTCAATGCTTTTAAATCTACTTACCGGTTTGTACTTCTCACTTTAGTTAAGACGGACTTTATAGGCTATCTCGTGTACAGTATATGCCAAGTCAATAATTTCAAGAAAAACAAACAAATCTAGTCAAAGAATATTTTGCACAAGCTCTTCGTGCCAACAAATAATTCACAAAGGTCCGTTTGAAAAAAAGGAGGTAAAATTTAAAGAACCCATTGGATTTCTTCATAGATTAACTCCACACAATTGAAAGTTACAGAAACCAAGATTTATCAGCAGCATTGCCTGATCGATGTCCTCCTTTACAAATGCCTTGTACGCATTGTCCTCCATTTCCACAACTTGTTCCATCCAAGAATTTATTCTCCAACAAGATACAGTCCGCTTGTCCGCTAGGATCCACGCATGCAAGTTGGCATGTTCCAGTCGCTGTTGGACCGCACGCAGTCTTCAATCCTAGATGAGCGCCTCCTACCTCACATTGTTTATCACGACTTGTACATAATCCAGAAGCACAACTAAGACCAGCTTCAAGAGTTCCACACGTCTTACCATTCGCTGCTGCCACATTCTCAGGACATACCGCACTTGTACCTGTACATTTTGCAGATTGATCACATTCCAGATCTCTAGCTTCCCGACAGATCACATTAGATGGTTCGAATTGACATTGAGCCGTACAACATCTTTCTGAGTTTAATGGGTCACATACGGCTCCTTTGACAAATTCGCAGGTATTCACATCACAACAGTCACTACTTCTTCCTTCACCTGGATCACAATCTTCACCGGGTTCGACAATTCCATTTCCACATTGTTTTAAAGAGATGACTTGACGTTGACCAGGTGAGATTAAACAGGATAAATCAAGCCCAGGAGTTTTTAAGGCTGTACAGATATTACCGATCGTGCAAGGTGAGAATTCGGAACTTGGAGTTGATGATCGAGGTGACATGATATATTCTGCATTACTATCACAGTATGTAGTTGACATTGGACAACAAGTGTCTGTTGATGTACATCCTCCAACACAATCGTGAATAGCACCAAAGGAATGACCAATCTCGTGAGCCATGACTGACCATTCGTTGGAAGTAGAAGCCGTCACACCCGTTCCACTCGTCACTTCTCCTTCTGTACCATAAACTGCTCCATTAACACATACTTGACCAAACCATGCTACTCCTACTTCATCTCCACTTGGACAATCTGTCATCAAATGCCAAAGTCCTGCTCCATCACTTCCTCCTTTGATTCCACGCCATTGACTAAAGATACTTAAACGTTGATTGAGATCGATTGAACTACAAGCCATGTTCCAAGGTGTATCTTGATTTGGTTTTTCGGGACATTGAGGAGCTTGAACGTTCATTTCAATGATACCTAAGGAAATATTAAAACTTTTGGCAAACAGACCTGAAACTGAATTTAGATTGTTTAGAATTGATGTTCTGGCATCTTGTTGAGTTAAATATTTTGAAACATAATTACAATCTGCTGCAATACCCATAAAAACTACTTTTGATTGTGATGGACATCCTTCGGTTGAACCAATCGAATTAACAAAGTTTGATGAAGGTAAAGTAGATGAACCTGAGATATCTTTGTCTAGTGAGCTTCGCTTGTAAATTTTTTTCGATCGTTCAGATGATGATGATGATGATGATGATGGTTGAGGAGATGTGATGAAATTTCCATCAGTTGAAGGATGTGGGTAGAGAGTTCGACGTAGGAGGGATGGTAAAAATGCACTAGAATGGTTTTGTTGAATTGTTGATGATTGATAAAGTTGACGATCAGGATTGATGTTGAATGCTAACTTGTCATGTCCACACATCAGTGTTTGTTGAGGGGTTGGATGAGGAAAAACGCTAGACTCAGTCTCGACAAATGAACCATTTAAAGCGGTGATATAAGATTCAGTATCATAATCTCCTTCACGCCAAGCCACTAGACCACCACGAAGATGAGAAGCTGGAGGGATTGGGATTGGGTCTTCTGGATGTTTGATTCGGTTAAAGGTCTCTAAAGGTTTGATATGCCAGAGTTGACGATTGATAGTAAAAGAACCTTCACAAGTGAATTGATCAAGATGATCATGAGATTTGATTTGAGTAGTATCATGAACCAAGATCCTAGCCCATCCTAAGACCCTTTGATCATCAAAAGATGAAGCCCAAGTTGGTGGTGTTGTGATAGATGCATGTTCTTCTTCCCACCAACTCTCAACACTTGATTCATCAATCACCCAACCTGTGTAAGCTAATACATGCTCTGGTAAAAGTGGAAGGGTAGTCAAAGTACTTTCACCGGTATTTGAATCCAATGAATGATAATTAATCTTGGCCTCTGGATGAATTAAATCTGTAGTTGGATGTAAGACTAATGTGAATTGAGTTAGAGAAGATGAGTTTTTTGAAAAAGAAGTGGTACTGATAGGTATTGAAAAAGATAAAAGGATTGTATCATTGTGACGAAGATCAGAAGGTGAAGGTGAGAGTTGATTTCTTTTCTTTAAATGATTTGATGATGATGATGATGATGATGGATTAGATGAGAGACGTGGTAAGATTTGAAGATTGGTTGAATGAAGTTGATGAACTTTTCGAATGGGTTGAGATCGAGTTGAGTGAGCTTAAAGAAGTTGAATAATATCAGTCTTGATTCAGCATTGAAGAGATATTCTCAACCAAAACTTACCGTTAGTATGATGATGATGAAGGAGAATCAACGAAAGCCATGAAATTAACAACACACAAATTGACATCTCGATCAGAACAAGAAGCAAGACCAATCAACTTCGAATGCAAGACAAACTATCTTAAAAGAAATAGATGGGAAGTCTGACTCTTTAGTGAATCTAAAGTGACTTATTGAATCTCTCAAACTTGATCATGACTGAAGTTCTGTACCGCTAAAAATTATCATCATCTTGACTTCAAAGGATGAACAAGTAAAAGAAGATCTCAAACTGATACTCAAGCTCAGTTTCAAGTTCGATTTTCCTTGTCGTTGTAACAACTCATTCGAAAATTTCACATAATTGAAGTTAGAAACGATGAACAATTGATTTTGAAACATGATCGATTGGACTGCAATTCCTTGAAACAATCCTTGGTTTTTTTTCGTTTTCTTTGATGGATACTATTTGTTTTGGAAATGGGGCGGTGAAAGATGAGGGTTGTGAAAAGAGATTGAGCTGCGGGAATCTATAGGTTTTGGTAAGCTTAACTAAGCCCGTTAAGCTTAAGGTTTTGGTCTTTCGACCATGTGCTTGAGCGATTCCCGAAGCTTGCTACTTGCCATCAGCCTGCGAAATTCAACTTGTTCAGGATCTCTCTTCATCATCTTCAGCGATGATGTGAGCTAGTATGATGAGAAGAGAAAAAAATCTAAAACGCTAAAAACTTGTTGTGAACTAGGATGGATGTACTTCAAGTTCAACTTTAGACGATGACTTTAAGAACAAGCTAAACTTCCTTCATGTTGATAGGTATAGGTTGAGGAATTTCAAGTCGAGCTTTCAGTTCTTCTTAACATGGTTACTCAGACCGAGGGCTACCTACAAGTTCAAAGAAGTGAAAATTGACTATCTTGAGAAAAACGAACTGAGAGTTCATGAAGATTACCACCACAACTTGAGTACATATTTCATTTGGTGAACTGGATCTATAAAACAATCTCTACGAATCATTATATCCATCTTCTTTGGAACTGAATTTGCACCTTTGACTAACTACGTCCAATAGATACAAAAATCCGTCTTCAATCCATCTTTCGGTTTAATAAAATTGTTTTTTCTAAATTCTAGTGCAGGTTCAAGTCTTTAGGTCTGCCACCTGCCATTTGAAGACACAACTCTGGGCAGAAAGATTGATCCAACACATGATGGTAAAGAGTCGATCGATACACAATTGTGTGTGTGTGTGTGGCAGTTTTGTTACAAGATGGATGCCAGAGAATTGATCTTACCACTGGTATGACTATGAGATTTTTTTGTTGGCTTGCTTTGACTTGCCACGAAGAATTCAAGTATGTACAGCAGCATATAATCAATATCCATGAGAATGTCTTAACTTTCATCAACAACTTCAACTTTACCGCCAGCTGGGATTCACACCAAAACTCCCGCCTGTGGCACTGGCAGACTGTAGTTGATGGACGATGACGATCACTCAAGAAAAACTTCAACTCAACAAAGCTGGATCGTGCAAACAACACGCAAACCCCCCGTCGGTCGCGCGATGCCGCACCAGCCACAGAAAGGTCGTGCTGCGATTCGCCGCAGCGTTTTGTCAACGCCATCGCAGCGCGGTCGCTGGGAACGAGGGCGAACATGGTGTTGCTAAAAAAATCGCCGCGCATCGCAGGCCACTAAGGCCGCGGGGAAAATCGCAGCGCGCCGCCGCCGGCTGTGTGAGGGGACACAGAGATAGAGAAAAATAAGGACAAGATCTGATGAGAAAGGTTCAATTCATGAAAGTATAAGAGATTATAAGAAGTGTGAGAATTAAATTAAGGAAAGTATTAGAAAGAATCATAAGTTTATGGCCATCAAATCAAAGAAAGTAGTAGAAAGAGAAGTGTAACAGTATTTAAGATGTAAATTAAACAAAGGAGAAGAAAGTATGATACTCAGATGTATAACAAATGAAAGAACAGATAAATTAAAGAGACACAAGAATTGAAACTATAGACTAGTCTACACAATGTTGATTGCTGTTTTCTGTTTAACTAATTTGTTTTCCTAATACCATTTCAGATAAGTGACTGCTTCTCCAAAACCCCCCTCTGGCTCTGCCCCCTCTTCAGCCACTTGCATGAACATACAAGTGGTGACATTGTTGGTGGGAGAAGGCCACCACAGTCTGTTGTGCAGACATCAATGACAGCAGCGCAGGTGGACCCCGGTTTGGAATAAAATAGTGCCTTGGTGTAGTGATCTGGCTTGTTATTTAAGAATACAGGATCCCTTGAAACCTGAATCCGAAATCTCTCCTAGATGATAACTTAAGCTGCGCTGTTTTTCTTTTCCTAAAAGAGAAACAATGATGATGATCTATGATTACGAAAAACTCAATAAGAAAGAAAAGAAATCTAATACAATACTAACGAGAGCTTCGTATAAATAGTAAAATAAAACAAGATCACATAATCCTATGATCAAACAACAGGTGAGATGACGCCTTATACATAATGAAACATAACCTTTGACAAGACTAATAAGAGATGAAATGAAATGACAAAATGATTCCTAAGTCCTGCACATAAAAGAAAACGCGTCCTGCCATGACAACTGTCTATCCATTACACTTGGAGTCTTTAATCCAAGGTGAATATGTTAGTGGTACTGGTTGAATAATTTCAGCCTCATTTTCAGAAGACAGATCTTGGTCCATGACGACCACAACAGGTCCCTGAGCAAAAATCAATCAAGTATTCAGCTATGATGATTGTTAGGGTAATCAGGGTATAGAAAATATGACCTGTGAATTCAAATCCTGTGTCTTCTTAGGTACATTCTTTGTTGCAACTCAAGCAAGTCAGTTATGCTGGTTGATAACTTAACTAGTGTAAAAATATTCTGACCTGTGAATCCAGAACTTGCTTCTTTTTTTCCAACTCTCTTGTGTTACTGCCAGGGCTGGGTGGGACTGCCTTACATATTTTATTGGTCTGAGAAGTCTTTGCAGCAGTTGGGGATCTCAAGTTTCTTGCTTTGCTGGGCCTTGGATGGTGAGATGAGCTGTGGTCCAAGTCTTGTGTAGCTCTTTGCTGGTGATCTGGTGATACCGTGTCTGGTGAGGTGTGCACAAAGCACTGGTAGCACAAAGCCAGGTGACAGCTGAGATGGGGAGCACTGAAATAGTTGTTGCACAGCAGTCAGTGATAACAAAAAAGGATTCAAAGTGGTGCTTGATGTTGAAGCAAAAATGTCAGAATTAAGAAAGCAAAATCCAATACCATTTTTTGATAAGGAAAGATATGATAAAGTTAATTGATGATTGGAAGAAGGAAAGATTGGGGATCAGAATGAGTGCAAGATTTCATATTAAGAAACAAAGATGTTGCTTATACTTGTGACAAAGGATAAACTTATGTAGAGATTTTTGAGCAACTACAACTCACTTCTCATGTGAGAAATCCACTTTTAGTGGTAAGTCCCTTGCTCAAGTCTTGTGCCTTTTGTGGGGGACTTTGTTACGTTTGGGGTTCCCCCTGCGGTGATCTCGCTGTGATTGCGGCCTGGTGAAATTGCCGTGAAACCTATGTGGCGGCCCAGCTATAACCCAGAGAGTGTTTGGTCCACTTCAAAAGAGGCTCAACCACAGCTCTGTTGCAGTTTCCAGCAGGGGGTTTGTGTGTTGTTACAAATCTGGATCACAAAACTGAACATAGATGATCTTACACTTTGTATATACAGCCAGTTTGACATTGATTTTTTTTTGAAAAATTTGTGTCCTGAAAAACTGGACACAAACAAAAATCCTGGGTTTGGGGATATGTGATTGCAGGCAGCAAACTTGCTCTTGCTCAGACTCCCAGTAATCATCTGGTGTCAATCTTGTGAACTAGAAAGATCAACATATATGGCAACAATGGACATCACTGATTTCTGGGAATTGTGCCACATTGTTTGATATGAATTGGTACCCTAACTAAATAAAAACTTTAGTCAGAGACTGAATGATGGGTTTTACTTACTTTTGCACATCAGCACTTACTCAAGACAACCCAATTATTTTCAAAACACTGTATGATCCCTTGGTTGTGAGAAGTTGATCAGTGAAGTGTGTCATCCCAAAGTGATTATTTGTGAGAAATTTGCATCCAAAATCCGCTTTGGGATTTGGCTTAAATCTGAATTCTTATTCAAGCAAAAATGTAAAGGAATTTATTTTTGTGATGGGCCCAAAACTGGTCAGATTTAGTTGAAAGTGACCAACATGAGGCAGCTATGTGAGAAAGACAACATGTGAACTGGAGAAAAAGTGTGAGTAGATTAGGAGAATGCTGAAAGGGAATTTGAGATACTGATGTTGAATACCAGAATTAAAAAACCATGTATGGAAATTGTTTGATTATGAGACAGGTCACAAACTTCAAGCATCTAGCGTCTGCCACTGGTAACTTGGGCACATGAATTTGATTTGTGAAATCACAGGCAAAGAATAAATTTCTCAACAAGTGTGACCTTCTGATAGTACTTTCTTTACCCTGTGGCATAAAATATGAGTGAAGAATCCTGAGATCAAGCTCTCATGTCGAGTTGACATGAGAGTTTTTATATCATAACTGTGAGTCTCTATAAAAAATATGGCGGCCCGTAATGGACATTTTCCAAATATATTCATGAAGTATTGAAGACGCGTGTTGACGATACGTGAGGTGATCGAAGTGGTATGGTACAATAAAATTTCAAAGCCTTTGTCGACTGGTACAGAGATGATAGTAGTCGTCTACTGTGAGATGATGCGATGAAAGTTTGAATTCACAGGAGAGTACTTACAAGGTACAGGTTTGACTGATGATCTATTGATGGATTAAGCAAGACAAGCTGGGGATTGATGCATTTTCTTCATAATTCATCCGAATGGAGGTTAATCTTCTTGGGTAAAGGCATCTTGGGAGGGATATGTTCAGCTTTTTGTTTTCCTGGCCTTCGAGCTACTAAATCTTCTGGCGGAGGTACGCCGAGATTACTAAATGATGATTCAGAAACGTGTCAACAGTTTTCAAGAAAATCGTCAAAACTTGAAGATATAATATCAATCATTCATCGTATCTATGCTACTCACTTTGGGTCATGGTTTGGGCTTGTAGGATTCAGATGTTGAAGTTTTTGCCATACGTGCCAAGTGAGATGATCAGGTGTGAGAGAAGGTCTGAAAGGTTGAGTCAAATAAGCTCGTAAGAGCTTTGGCGAGAAAAGGAAAACCTGAAGAAGTGTCAATCAAAAACAATCAATCAGCCGAGAATCAAAAACAATCAACCATACACGTCATAAGAAAGAGGTCTGTCTATACTCACTGAACCAAGACCGATGAGAAGACCTAGAACAATCAGTCTGATATTAAGGAAACCAAATCTTGAGCTCGTCATTCCTTTCAGTTTATGATGATCTTTATGACTGTTATACTCAATGGGAAGGTGTTCATCAAACTTTCAGCCCAGTTGACTCTGGTTCCAGACGGTAAGTTGGCGTGAATCGTGATGGAGGCATGAAGAAGAAGTGACCATTCGAATGAATGCCTGATTGCCATGTCACAGTCTGGTGGAAAATGGCGTGACAGATTTCTGAACAGCTCGAGTGACATGCTTTATGACAACAATCTATAAAGCAGCCTGGATCAGAAAACCGTCCTCGTGTAGCGAAGCCATTCGAACTAGGTCTTGGACTTCAATCCTTTCATCGATTATAATCTTCGCATTGTCTGATGACTTCCAGGATTAGGCTTCCGATCAATCATTTGAAGCTTTATCGTGACTGATGAATACGTCCGAAGCCGTATGAGCCCTGACGTCACCAGTGACCAAGGAGTGTGCTCGTTTAGATCGCATCCAAGAGAAGCTATGTACCCCAAGGATAGCGGTGGACGAGAGTGTTTGAGTCAGTTCTGCGGATATGTAGTCAGATCTATCGCATTCACATTTACGACAACGTCTCTAAATCACTCAACTTTTCAGCTGTGCCTCCAGATGAGCACGCAACCCCGCCATTAAAAAATGTTCCGAATAGGGCTTTATGTTTCACGGTGTTATTGTTTTGGTCAAGTAGACCGCGAAACTTATCGCTCTGAGCTTGGAAGGACCCAGCTTGGTAGTCGAGTTGCCGCATGTCGATTCGTCGGTCATTTTTGCCACGTTAATGTCGGGAGAATTGTGCGCTTTTGGGGAACTAGCGCCATTGATTGTCGCAGAGAGCTATATCATGAGAAGCACGAGATGATTTGCCTGTCTGGGTTGATGATGATTGCCTGCCTTGCCTTACTATTGTCATAGATCACCCGGCAGGCTGTGTCAGGTGGTGGATCCGTGGCTGGAAATAAGTAGCATGCGCTATAGTCAGCAAGACCATCACGGCAGATGACGGAGAGTCAAGACTAAGATAACTCAGCGTAGAGAAATGAGTGTTGTTTTGGAGAATTCATCAAAGATCTTTTCGCGCTCGACGGAACGCTCGGGAGAGTCGTGTAAAGACTGATATCGTGGTGAAGGACCGACAATCTTGGAAACACAACTAAATAGAATCTTGACCGCTCTTATAGGGATCAAGATCTGGTACATTCACGAATATGTTGATTAGTACCAATCATTCAACTTGTCATCTTTCACAGATGGTCTGGTAAACATACCTCCAGAATTACCAGTGACTACAGACCCGTCATTGACGAATATTCCGAATAGTGCTTGGTTTTGATCACCTGGGTTGTTGATATACTCAACTTGGAATATACGCACAGAGAATGTCATGATTGGAGATGACACCGAGTGTTGGGCGAGTCTACAAAGCTCGAAGGTGTCGAGGTTTGCGATTGAGGTGCTATATGTTATACACGATATACCACTTCGACGCCTGAAGTTTGCCTGCTTCAGCATGTGCAAGATAGTACATGTTGGCACCTCCTTGTCTTTCCTGGCTTGTAATCGATCAATATTCTTCAATAAACCCAGTTATTTCTTTATCGCGTGGGCGATTGGTCCTTAAAGCAAGATCATTCCAAGAAATGAAATAAAATGCTTTGTTTTGGCCTTGTTGCACCAAAACAAAACATATGTGAAGCAGAAAACACGTGATCCTAGCTCAGATTCTGTGAGCTGTTCTCGACAGTGGAAAGGGCTTGAGTTTCAAAGCCTTCATTTTTAATGACACAAGCATTTGTCGAAATGCTTCCTGTATCTCGAATAAAGCATGTACAAATGACTTCGCATTTTTAAAAAAGAAAAGAAATGACTTCCCGCCTCCAGATAATAATGCCAATAATGCTAATAATGCAGATGCGGATTGGAGAAGCTGATCCCTACTGCGCTTTTGTTTGCTGATTGCTGAGGGCTAGAAGGTATAAATTCCGTACTCCTCAATCGTAGTCCCGCTAAATCCAATCACAAACATTCATAGTCACGACTCACAACACACAACACACACGACTTTTATAACTTACAATTTCTCAAAACTTTCAAATCAACTAGTCAACCAACATGTCTCAAGATCATTCAAATATACCTTCTAATCATTCAAGACTTACTCATCTTACTCGTGATCGCTCTGCCTCTCTACCCCAAGCCGACACGAATCCTTTAAGCCAAAATGCTCTCGACTCGAACGTTCCCTACTCTTACGCGAGAAAAGGCTCACTTCCATACAACAATCTTCCACGTTACCCACCGAATCAACAAGCTTCAGACGAGAAACAAAACAAATTACCCTCTCTTCCGCTTCCCCGCAAGGCTTCGTTGGCTACTTCATCAGTCTTTGGTGACGATTACGTTCCATTAAGGTATGTTCTAGTGCTCTTGATCTCTCTTGAACTCTTCATTTCCCTTGACGTCGCCGACTCTGCCTCACACCTATGCTCCTTGTTTTGCTTCTTTTTTCCCTTGTAGTTCCCCTGGTTCGTCTCGAAACAACGGCGCTGCCACTGGATCTTCTGACGGTCGTCCATCTCTATCGGAACGTCCTACTCTCTCGTCACCTGCCCGCTCTTCTGGTACTTCATCATACTCTCGCCGAAAATTCCCTACCATCGGACAACTCTCAAAACTCCCATCACATGCGCCTCTCAAGATTGTCAAACGTCGCGCCGGTCAAAGCCCATCAGATCACCCTTCTCAATCACCAACATCCCCTTCTTCTGGATTCGCGAGCGTGTCTGGACAAGCTCAAGAATTACTCGTAGATTATTCATCCGTACCTCCTCCCCCTCAAATTCTCTCAGCGCCTTTAGGAAGATTTAGAAATAACTCAGTTGGAGAATTTGGTCAAGCTAGTGCAGTTTCTGTTGATGGAGCTTTTCAAAATAACGAGACCACTGGATATGTTTATAGACCTTCAGCTGTTGTTCTTACTGATGACTACTATTACTCTCAAAATCCTATCAAAGAACCTTTACAAAGATCTTCTAGTGTATCACGTGTTGGCAAATTGTCTGGTAGTTTCCTCAAAAGATTTAAAGGTGGCGAAAACAAAGAATCATAATTAAATTAAATCAATTCAATTTTATTATTAGTTCTTTTTACAATCATCTGGGTATTTTTACAATTTCTTTCTTAGTCAATCTTTCTATATCGTGTTTGAATGGATACGTTGTTAGTCAATCATTGATCATTTTTCGATTCGGATAAGAATTTGGTCTTGCGAAACAATAGAATTTGGTATTTTCGTTGAGTTTTGTTATTGAGTGGCACAATTATGATATTACGACCATTCGAGGTTCCATAATGAATTGTGTTTGTGAGTCAGAGTACAGAACGTAAGCTTGAATTGAGAAAGGGACATCCAATTGAGAGATAGTTCCACTTTCAACATTATAGTCAGAGAAAGGAAACCATTGTATGCAAATTTTATCCCCTTATCCATGAATCGATAAGTATACAACATTATAGTCAGAGAAAGGAAACCATTATATACAAATTCTATCCCCTTATTCATGAATCTATAAGTACACAATTTTCGGTTTGATCAATGCCTCTGACCAGCTGGCAAGTCTTCTAAACGCGAGTTCTCTGACATAAGTTTTTATCCCTTGAACTGACCTCGTACTTTCCATCGTTCATGATTGAGATGTGTTGATTACGGTCCGCTTCAACTTAAAATTCAAACATCCTCACAAGAAGTGTTCAGAACCACAAGCACTGTCGCCGGTAACTCATGATTCTGAAAGTATTTGGTTCGACCATTCTCCTTGCATTGATTCTACACTTCTCTGATTGAGCAAATCATGATATGCACTCATTTGGCGATTTCGGCTCAGGCCCAGGGTTGCACTGGTGAGCTCAGTGATATCCCGTAATACGCTGCCTGATTTTCCTTCCCACGGTCTACCAAGCCTTCATAACAGGACCAATGTGCCAAATACGCGCTCACACCATCTACAGTGAAGCTGCAAAAGTCGAAAGAAAGGTTTCTACCCATTGTACGAAGTACATTTTGTCGATTGACTCCCCTTTGGATTGTGTCATCGATGACTATGATTTGTTTGGTAGATCTCATACAAGGAACTGATGCAATGAACTGATTAATGTGACGGTGTCTCAATTTCTGAGCATGTTTCACATATTCCGTTTCCTCAGCGCTTACGATATGTCAGAATTTTTGAAGGGGGCAGTGTCCGCGCAACGTGGCATCAGGACACTCACCTCATCATGATGAGGTGGAGTCTTCTTATTTCGCCTTATTGGATCATATATGTGACAGTCCTCCCACCTACGCGGCATGCTTCAAACACCGCTTTCCCGCGCACATGTCTTGCCCCTTAATTTAATGATCCTGGTGTTGCGCGTGTGTCGCGGTAGCCCTTTGTGCTGTGCCTGAAACCAAATAGCCAATATTTTTGCTGCTATGAAGTATGATCTTTTTGCTAACCAGCATGGTTATCTCAATAGTCTGATTTCATTGTCTGCATCTTGCGTTGTTTTCCAGCTCTTGTTTGCAAACATTTCATGACTTTCAACAAGCTACTGGAACTTGGCGTGCCCTATCCGAATCCTGTATATAACCATATGAAGTATGTGATTCTGATATGATTATGCTTATACTGAATTCAGCATGAGTCCTGATCAAGGTTTATTGTAGATCGTCTCTCATCCGAACTTCAACCTGATTCTGATCCAAAACTATTATTTACCAAAACTCAAATCAAAATGACTGCTGGTCGATCTCAAGCTCGGGTCTACGCTGATGTCAACGAGAAGTTTGGAAGAGCCTGGTGGGATTACGGTATGTCTTCGATGTCGAGTTTTATACGTCCGAACCAGATGCTGATCGTACCGTCTTGTCTGCTTCGCTTGACTCAGACGGCTTATCTGTATCATGGGGTCAACAGGATAACTACGAGATTGTGAGAAAAGTTGGACGAGGGAAATATTCAGAAGTTTTTGAAGGTGTCAATATTGCTAACGATGATAAATGCATCATCAAAGTAAGTCGATACGCACAACATTCCTACTTTCCATGACAGACCTGATCTAGAAGCTTCTCGGGATTCACGTTTTTTTTCTTGCATCAGGTCCTTAAACCGGTCAAGAAGAAAAAAATCAAACGTGAAATCAAAATCCTTCAGAATCTGGCTCGTGGTCCGAACGTGATTAGCTTGTTGGACGTCGTGAGAGATCCGCAGGTGAGCTTGGCGCCCAGCTTTCACGATCTTAGGGTAAAGACTAATTTGCTTGCCCCAATACTTGTGCAGTCCAAAACCCCTTCTATCATTACAGAGTATATCAACAACACGGACTTCAAAGTCTTGTATCCCAAATTCACCGACTTTGACGTTCGTTTTTACATCTCCGAGCTTCTGAAAGCCTTGGATTTCGCGCATTCTCGAGGAATCATGCACAGGTTCAGTCAATTGACTAACATCGATTTTCATCGCGTTTTCATTTCACTTAACGTCATGTTTTCCGTTCATAGGGATGTCAAACCTCACAATGTCATGATTGATCATGATCGACGTCAGTTGCGTCTTATCGATTGGGGTTTGGCAGAATTCTATCACCCTAATACGGAATACAATGTACGAGTGGCATCAAGATACTTCAAGGGCCCAGAACTCTTGGTGGACTTTCAAGAATACGATTATAGTTTGGATATGTGGAGTTTAGGCTGCATGTTCGCGTCAATGGTCAGCGCTCTCGGAACAGTCCTATATCAAGACTTGCTGACCTTTGTGCTCAACCTCTCATACCCTCTTCGTGGCTTATGAATCTTTTTAGATATTTCGCAAAGAGCCATTCTTTCATGGCCATGATAACTACGATCAACTTGTCAAGATAACCAAAGTTTTGGGTACTGATGAGCTGTATGTTTACTTGGAAAAGTATGATATCGAGCTGGATGCGCACTACGATGAGATCTTGGGTCGATATCAGAGAAAGCCATGGAGTCGATTCTTGACCACTGAAAAGTAAGTCTTCAGTGCGAGCACTGGTTTGTGCATTCCAGATACTGACATTTTCAATATCTCTAGTCAACGCTACATTTCGAACGAAGCTATTGGTGAGTAGTGCGCTCGAGCTTGGAGTGTGCAAAGGAGGTAACCGCTTACCTCTCAATATCTTCCAATACAGATTTCTTGGACAAGCTTCTTCAATATGATCATCAGGAACGTCTGACTGCAAAGGAAGCTATGTCGCACCCTTACTTTGGTGAGTTGGACCATTGATTTCCTAGACTTGCAGAATCATGCGTTGCTGATATCATCTGCCTTAGATCCTGTTCGACAAATGCAAGATTGATGTCGGCTTTCAATCCGGAGACAGAGGTTCAAGGAAGGTCTTGAACGATCGACTTTTCCATATGCATACAGCCAATTTGATAACGATCAGTGAATTGCTGATGCCTGTAAAATATGAATACGCCCCCCAAAGGTTGCATTTGTGTACAATATTGACTATCGCTAACTAAGTTATGAAAGCGGTAGTCCATCTACAATGTATACGTTGTGCCATTGCGGATCAGGCTTCGTCAATGACTGATGTGTGAACCATACAAATTGGCTTGTCTCGCAAAGGAAATGTTAAGAAGATTGTTTTAAAACTTCGCTCCGAGCCTGTTATGAGCCAAATTCTGTCTCAAGAAAGTCGTCCAGTTTGGTGGAAGATGAATAGTCTGATTATGTAGTCTTTGATTGAGTGATTTAGGAATTAATTCAAGCCTATGATTATGATGTCCGTAGCCACCCCCTGCGCTTTATGACAATCAACTCTGCTCAAAGAGAGGCAGATTGTCTGACATGATAGGAGGTTTCAAGTTAGAAATTTTTGTGTATTATTGTGCTACAACAACTTGCCTGTTGTTGTGAAATATGTGTAATTTTTTTACCACTTTACTGGATAAGAGGACTAGAACATGACCAGGTGTACATGATTTAGCCTCATTTGATATATTGCACTTGTCCCAGAGCTCACATGAAAATGATCTTGATGAATCCTACTGATGTCTCAGAGAGAGCTGTCATCATCAGGTACAATGGACTTATTTTGGACGCAACTTGTGACAAGACCAAAAGAAAGATACAGATTATCTCCACAAAGAAGTCCGCACACTCACACACAGTTCCAGTTGCATATACTCTAGTCATATTTTATTCTCAACCAGTACCATCAACATGTTTGTGCCAGGTAGTTCAAAGTGGACAATGTCTTCTGTGTAGCTATCTATTGGCAATGCCAGCTTGATCTTTTTGAGCAATAATATCATTGTACAGAAGGATTCAGGAGAAGGAGTGCTCCAGAAGCTAATGGTAGATCAAAGAGCCATATATCACTTCAGCCATGCTGTGAGAGCCGCTGGCTCCATCTGGCCTAACTTGTTTCTCAAGACTAAAGCTCTTACTTGCCTCACTCACTTCAAAACCAAGGAATTGTTGAGTAGCTCTCAACAACAGCACCCAGCTTCAGTTTTTGTAACCCAACTTTGATATTTGCTAACAACTGCAATCTTTACAAGCTCAACTCTTAATGACTTGACCTTCATAGCAACACTGCGTAATCTGCGCTTGCGGAAGCTGATGTGCAGTGGTGCTTTGTGGTTTTTTCCATCTGACTTACCATCAAAATTGCTTCTATTCACATTCCTCAGCAGTTGTGCTAGCACTTCCATCCAATACTACATTGCTTAGCATGTCTTCTGTGACCTCCAAACATCCTGTACAACCTTGCAAGCAGACCACAACCCCTGGCATGGTCTCCCCCAGCCCTGATTCTCATTGCCTAGTCTCAATCAACAATATCATTCTGTCTCAATTTAAAAGTCAAAAAAAGGAAAAGAAAACAGTAGTGGTTGATGATTTGTCCAACTCCAACAAAGAAAACATTGAAGCTCAAAAACTACTCACAGCATCAGATTGGTGATCACTGGCAGGCCAGTTCATTTGTGCATGTTCAAAGACGTTTTCAATAGGTCTTTAGCTCATCATAGAACAAAGCCAGAGTGGGGGATCACGGGGTTTACATAGATTACAAATTGCACCATTGATTTGTACAGCTGCAGCTCAATATTGGCTCCTTTCATATTGCAAATGTTAGAAAATCCTACTGATTGTTTTATGTAGTGGGAAAAGGTTTACATATGTTGGCTAGATGGCATGTTGGATGTGTCTCATTCACAATGGTGTACGCAAAGCAGTGGCACGAACAGAAGTAGAATTGGGGTGTGAGAGCTGGACAGAAACAAAAAACAAAAGAACAACAAGTCAACCCCCATCTTCCCACCTGAGATGGCAGAATGGTGATGGTGAGAATCAATACTTGTGATGGAAGGAAAAATGTGGTTTAAAGATGCCATGAAACCCAAAATATGAGAAGCATGATTTTGAGAAGAGCTTTTCAAAGCATTAAATGATTGTCCAACAAGGCTCACACAAATAGTGTGAGGTATAGTGTAAACATGCATGTTGGTTTGGGAGGTGGACTTACTGACATATGGTAACAGGTGTGACAGGCCCAAACCGCAAATCAGCTCCCAAATGGCCATTGGTGGACCGAGGAAACTTTCATTGCATTGGAAGACACATCACTGGGTGGTCTCTGATGTATGTATTGAAGGATTTGCTAGACCATTGTCCAACATCTCAAATGTAATCAAGGGGAAAACCTACCTGACCTCATCAAGTGACCATATTTGTCCTTTGTGAAAAACAAACAAACACAATGCTGGAAACAGGAGCAAGAAAGGGTGACTGCTGTTGGAAGTGATAAATAGGAAGGGAGACACTACAAAAGATGTATTGCAAAGTTTGAGATAATATAAGAGAGCCCAAAGTGGGCAGGTGCCCTCTATTCCACAATGGCAAAGCATAACAGGGGAAACAAAGAAAAACGGATTGCTCTTGTTGTAGGGAAGCATGTATTGAATAAATCTCCCACACTGAGATACAAGAAGAGTAGTGCATTTGATGGCCTTGTCATATTGCAGAAGAGCTTTGTTGGTACAACAATCTCCAAACAATGTAGAGGGTGAAAACCCATGCAAACCATAGCAAGAAAGAGTGTGAATCCAGAATCTTGAGAAGTGGTATATGAGACAAGGATGAGGTCCTGCAGGGCCAGAGGCTCCTTACAAAGGATTGGGACATCCTCTGAGGATGTCCCTGACTTCTTTTCTGTTTTTGATGCTGGTGACATTGGGGATGGAGAGACTAAAGGTAGTTGCAACGCCTGAAAGGTAGGCCCTGACAGTCAAATGAAAGATACATTGACCAGTACAATGACTGATCTGTTGACAGG